TCTTGCCAGATATATATATGTAAATATAATATGAATATATTATATATGAATCATATTATATTTACATATTATATTTATATAAAAATATATTTATAATACATCAATACATAAATATATATAATATTACATATAAATATATATATTACAAATATAACAATGTCGGCACATATTACAGAGAAAAAGATATTATATAATTAAAAATTCTCATAAACAACTTGCTATGATTAAGCCTTGTGAATTTCATCATCTAATAGTAGCCAACGATTGTTTACTGGTTACATTTAATACTCATCAAGAATAATTCAGTCTGTGATTTAGCATCCTGTAGAAAGTGAAACAAGCATATTGCTAATTTACATTACCCCAAAAAACTTTGGTTAATATTTTGAAATAGAGTAATTCACAAGGACAAAGACTACTTATTCTTGTGGGTTAACACCAGTCCTTTAGAGTTTTGAAATCAATAAACTTGTATAATTCAGTAAGACTTCATCATGTAGCTAACAATATATGTTACTTTTATTATTTGAAAAAAAATATACTACAAAATGAATTTCAACAACATATTTATATTAGATAAATGAAAAGGAGGTCAAGTCAAGGTTTGTGGTATATGACAAGTGTTTCTTTGAATTATAGGATATATCTAGTATCAAAAGGTTTTTACTATGGCCTCAAATAAACATGAGTGTGGTCAGAATGCACCTGCTTTCTCAAGTCTCTTATGTCTTTTGTTACAGTACTTTTATAAACATAATGTATAGATGATATACAATGATTGAATTTCATTTATAAAAAAGAAATTGCCATATCTTAAAAATTAAATGTGAATGTCCAATCCAAATTACTAATTTCAAAAATTAAATGTTGCTAGATAGATAAAGGCAATTTTCAGATAAATTGTATTCTTCAATAGCGGGTCTATCTTACCATTCACAAGCTGGACTTCAGTGTGTTTAGTGTGAAAAATTGTTCTTCTAGCTTTGTCTCACCTTAAACAGTGTTTTTACCTTGTATCTAAATGTCATTGAATGGTCAGACTTATAACTCTGAGGTAGGATATATGTGCTCAGGCATGTATACATACACCCCACGTAATATTCTTCTCCACCTTAAAGGCTGAGTGAAGTGTTTTACCATAGACACAGTGAACTGGGACAGGAATCATGCAAATTTTTAAGGTACTTAATAGGAATAGGAGGAAATACAGAAGGCTTTGAGAAAGCCAGCATGTGGCCAGAAACAACAGCAGGTGTGGCCATATGGCAATCAAATTAGAAAAGGGATTCTTGCCACACAGCCTTCCAGAAAAGAGTAAAGCCCCAGCAGCCCTCATGGAGGGATGATTTGTTAAGTACATTTTACTTATTTTATATTGCCTCTTTCACTGTTCAGTTCCAAATGAAATGTAAATCCATTTTGCCAAACTGATATAAAAATTTTTCTTAAAGAATAAAAATAATCATTTTGAAATGCCCTTTTACATTTAGAAAATATCACTATGCTGAAAGCACATTTCCAAATAAAGCGTTAGCTAAGCTGAGATCATTGTCAAAAAAGCAAAGTTTTGCAAGGCTATAATTTAATGGTACTATTTTACTTTATTGAAACATTTGGTAAGATTATTTAATATTTTAAAATTCCCTTAGTCCAAGACAACTGTTAATAATATAAAGGTATTTGTTTAAGATTCCTTAACTTGTAAAATAATCTTCTATAGAAGATTGTGAAGCACATTTTCCTATTAAAAATTTTTCTGAAAACGTGTTTTAGTTCTCACATTAGCTTTCAAAAACTTGTTTGACCTACAAAATAACTAGAGTTATATTATTAAGTCATTCTTAAAACGTATTATTACTATTGTATCATGTTGCTATAATTTCAGCAGCATTCATGGGCTGCAGTTGTGTGTGTGTGTGTTTGTGTGTGTGTGTGTCTGATCTAGTCTGGGAAAATGTCCATGTTTTGGTCTCGTCCTTCATTGTTTTTTTGTTTTTGTTTTTGTTTTTGTTTTGAGATGAAGTCTTGTTTTGTTGCCCTGACTGGAATGCGATGGCACGATCTTGGCTCACTGCAACCTCTGCCCCCAGATTCCAGAGATTCTCCTGCCTCTGCCTCCCAATTAGCTGGGATTACAGGCACCACACCTGGCTAATTTTTGTATTTTTAGTAGAGATGGGGTTTCACTATGTAGGCCAGGCTGGTCTCGAACTCCTGACCTCAAGTGATCTGCCCACCTCGGCCTCCCAAAGTGTTGGGATTACAAGCCTGAGCCACGTGCCCAGCCTCCTTCATTGTTTTTACCCTGAGGGAAAAAAGGATATTTGTTCAGAACTCAGACCTTTGAAAATCTTCCTTCCCCAAGAGTTTCTTTTTTCTCTCTCTCTCTGCCCCCGTCTGTTGCTCTCTCTTTTTCTCTCTCTCTCATACACACATACACCCTCTGTCTCTCTCTTCTATTACGTTGATGACAAGCTAGCCTATAATCAGAATGAAGACAATGTTCATATTTCAACCTTGAATTCTCTGGTTTGTTTCTGCTTATATTTAGCACTACACTTCTATTTCATATGACCAAGTTTTTTGAACACCACCACAACAAAAGGGTAACTAATTATCCAAACAAACCAGTGGTGTTTAAGCATTGATTGCTTCACTAATAGCATTTTTTCAAACAGGATTATTGTGTTTATTTTGAATATAGAAATTATCTTGTCTACATAAAAAATGGGAACTTGTAGTCAGTTTCTTTTTAGAGTGCCTATTCTACTTCTACTGAAATTAGTTTACATGTATTTAACTTAATAGAAGAAGGCCAGACTTCGTTTTTCGTTTTTGTTTTGTTTTTGTTTGAGACGGAGCCTCACTCTGTTGGCAGACTGGAGTACAGTGCCGGGTTCATGACTCACCACAGCCTGACCTCCTGGGCCCAAGCCATCCTTCCACTTCAGCCTCCCGAGTAGTTGGGACCACAGGCATGCATCACGATCCCCAGCTAATATTTTTTTTCTTTGTAGAGATGAGGTCTCACTATATTGCCCAGGCTGGTCTTGAACTCCTAGGCTCAAGCGATCCTCTTGCCTTGGCCTCCCAAAGTCCTGGGATAACAGGGGTGAGCCACTGTGCCCAGCCTCTTCATTGTTTTAAAATGGGCTTTTTGTAGGCAATCTGTTTGGGTTCAAGACTTTTTTTTTTTTTTTGACTTAAAAATCTAGCTCTTAAAATAAGTTTACAAGTTATAGCAAAGTGAAGGAAGCCAAAAACCATAATAAACATCATTGCCTCCATTACTCAGATGTTAAAACTGTTAGCATTTTAGTGTATTTGCTAACAGTAATTACTAACCTAAAACATATGGCTAAAGCCCATTTTGTTCACTTCTAGTGCTCTCTATTCTTATGTGAGAGGCAACCACTAACATGAGTTTGGTGATTTTTTTTTCTTCCCATTAAATAAAATAACATATATATATATATATATATCCATCAAAAATGTATTGTGTGTAGTTTTTAATGTCTGTGTGTGTGTATTTAACATGTATATATACACACTATATTATATATACATTTGATATAGTTTAGATTCTGTACCTTACTTTTTTACTCAACTTTTTTTTTTTTTTTTTGAGTCAGGGTCTCACTCTGTCACCCAGGCTGGAGCACAGGGCTGTGATTTCAGCTCACTGAAGTCTCAACCACCCAGGTTTAGGTGATCCTACCACCTCAGCCTCCTGAGTAGCTGCGACTACAGGGACACACCACCCTGCCTAGCTAATTTTTGCAGACACAAGGTTTTGCCATGTTGCCTAGGCTGGTCTCAAACTACTGGGCTCTAGTGAACCGCCCTCCATGGCCTCCCAAAGTGCTGGTATTACGAATGTGAGACACCACACCCAGCCCCCAACTTTGTTTGTTTTTTTATTTATCCTATTGACATATGTAGATCTACTTCCTCCTTTTTAACTGTTTTATAACATTTCATCATATGAATAGAAAATATTGTATTTATTCATTCCTTTTTTGATAGGCATTTCTAATTTCCCTTCTTGATAGTTTTTCTGTTATTCCATTATTACTTAGGTTTAAGTAACTTTTATAATCACAGAAATATTTGAGTACTTAGGATTTGCATGTTTATATTATATAGCAAACCAGTCTTGAATATTTACCACTGGAGTTATTTTCTTCTTATGCCTTAACTATAGCAAAATGGCAAATAATTCAAGATATTATTTTTAACATCAAATGTAATTTGTTCAAAATTTACATTAATCTTTCTCATAACTAGTCACTTCCATTTTGTCTTCCTGTCATCCTGAAGAATGAAAATGTAATTTCCCAGAGGTTTTAAGAATTGGGGGAGTATTAAATGTAGCTGAAATTAAGTGATTAATAATTTACTTCCGGGTCATGAATCAACTTCATGGGATGCTAAGGATCATTTGCAACCCCAGAAGAATGAGCAGTAACAATGCACTTTTTCAGACTCCAGAAATCTCAAAGGTTGGCTGCCCAACCTAATTAAACTTCAATCTTCTGATACCAAATTTATTTCTTCTTTGTACTGCATTTCCTCAGATCTTCTTGACAGGAAAATGTCACTTTGCCTGACAGCTGATAGACAGGTTATATAGCACCATAATTGAAGAGAAAAGGATAGCTTAAAGCTCCTCGATTTAATGGCTACGTGTATGGCTTTTTCTTTCTCTCTCTCTCTTTTTTTTTTTTTTTTAAGTTTCTATGACAGACACAAAAGGTCTGAGCAAATAGGCCCAGTGCCATTTTTTCCTGCTTCCTCCAGGGGTAATTATCTTACTCCATCAATAGTGCTGTCAGAAATTGAGCACATAATTCAGCATTTAAATGAACAAGCAACGTAATATTTCCTGTCTCCCAGTGGAATGCTTTGCAGCTCACATTCTTCTCTGTCACTTGCTCACTCTTGATGTATGTCCCATACCCAGTCCTTGAATGCCTTCTCTCCCTTGTGTTTCATTGCAGATGTTGGCTCCGACTTGACACCTATTTCATTTGGAGTTTTATAGGACCAGCAACCTTGATAATTATGGTAAGAATTCCTAATTAACTATGTGTTTCCCAGCTCAAGATATAAAACTTTCACTATCCCAGTTCTGACTGTCTTTAATTTACAGAGGTTAATTTGGGGAAAGCATGTACTTATTTGACCCAACATAATTCAAGCAATTAAACACTCATTATAGTCTATTTTATGTTGTAAAATAGTTAATCAAAACTGGTGGAAAAGAAAATATGCATTTGCAAAAGCTTATGGAGCTACTCAAGGGTCCAATCCAACATAATCTATTTGGTTTCATAGATAGTTGAACAGGGATAACTCTAAGGTTGACAACAGTGTATTTCCATTATTTTTCTTTTGGATAATTTGAATTGGGAACTGATATAACTTAGAAAGGTGGGAAAATACCTGACTGTTCCTATCAGCTTTGTTTTTTCAATGAATCTTGAAAACTTTAAAATTTAAAAGCAAAACTTTAACACTTTACTTGAGAATGGCACAATCGCATTAGGCATACATTCTGGAATCATGCTTCCTTTTCTGTTTTTAGATCCATAATATTCTGATTTCAAAAATGGATTAACTTAATTTCGATAAAACTGTTAGTAGAATTGCTTATATACTTACCATTTTAAAAATACAAATTTGCTATCCATTTTGTGAATAAAATGTTAGCCTACTGACTTTGGATAAATATAGGTCTCAAGTTTCTTATCTGAAATCTTTGGGACAAGATGTATTTTGGAATCAGTAAGTTTTCAGACTTTGGAAAGATAATATGGTACATACACTGCATAATATACAATAACCCTATTGAGGAATAGGCAGTTGCCCAAAATCAAATACATCAACAAATACTCACAGTGGAGACTAGGCAGCAGTCTGTAATCAAATACAATATTTCAACAGAGAAAAAAAAAAAAGGAAAAGTAAGAGCAAATAGTGGAAAGACCATGGACAGCCTTATGTCAATTCAAATTAGGTTTTCCCACCACATAGATTTACTTCATGTTAGGCTTTTTGGTCACTGAATGGATTTTTTTAAATAACTTTCATTTTGCAGACTTTTGGGGTTTGGGGATGATTGATAAAGTGTTGCGAACATGTATTTTTGAGAGAATTTCAGGAGCGCCTTTATTGCCAAGTTGTGGAATATATAAATTAATCAAGTGGTAAAGGGCAACTCACTATGTGGTTTTTGTACAGTTTACCTGTGTGTGATATATGAAGTCTACATCAGCGCTGTTTTTCTGTTTTGTTTTGTTTTAAATTTTATGCTTTCTGTGTTTCCAGTGACATGGCAATACCACGGGTGGTTCCCTTTACTTTAGTCTTAGTTTATTGTAGCATCAGAATTTAACCAACATTTTATAATCCTTTTGAACTAGCTACACAAAAATATATTGATTTTAGTATTTGCATTTTTGTAATACAGTATTTGAAAATGTGTCACTAAACAATAAATTTAGATAAATGTTCAGAGTGTAGAAATAGTAACACACCTAAAAAAGTATTGTTTTTGTTTTGACATACACTAGACTTTGAATTGTTTCACAATTTCCACAGCATCATTCCAGCTGATGCTGATTTTGTATTTGTGTGATTTGGCATAGCAGGCATGATAGTGCTTTGTAACTCAGTAGTATCCCAATTCTCAAAGCTGGCTTCTTGCCTTTACTAAAACACTAGGCAGTCATCTATGATCCAATTCCTTTAAAAGTGTACTGAGACCTAATTTCCCAGAACAACTCATCTGTTACAGAGAATAGATTTGTTTTTTTTTTTTTTTCCTACTCCGATTATGCTACATAACACTACCTTTTGCATTCCAGCTTAATGTAATCTTCCTTGGGATTGCTTTATATAAAATGTTTCATCATACTGCTATACTGAAACCTGAATCAGGCTGTCTTGATAACATCAAGTAAGTGATTTTTATTTTTGTTTTCTATAGGTTGCCTTACATTTATACTACAAACTATCCTTTCTATTATACCAAAATCTTACGACAAAAAGATAAAGAATTTGCTGAATAAGATTATTGATTGACTATCAAAGTGACTTGATCTGCCTGAAAATAAGTATAATAAAGTTCTGTTTTCAAAGATACTTTTTCTCCTAAATTCTAATTTGGAACATGATAAGTTTTAAATATATATATTCATTTTGTCCTGAAAACAAACACAACATTTCCATTTAGGACAGATTATTCTGGTTTTTTGTTTCTTTTTTTTTTTTTTTTTTTTTCTTTTTTGAGATGAAGTTTCCCTCTTGTTGCCCAGGCTGGAGTGCAATGGCACGATCTCAACTCACTGCAACTTCCTCCTCCCGGATTCAAGGGATTCTTCTGCCTCAGCCTCCCAAGTAGCTGGGACCACAGGCTCCCGCCACCACGCCCAGCTAATTTTTTTGTATTTTTAGTAGAGACAGGATTTCACCATTTTGGCCAGACTGGTCTCAAACTCCTGACCTCAGATGATCCACCTGCCTCGGCCTCCCAAAGTGCTGGAATTACAGGCGTGAGCCCCCATGCCTGGCCAGGTTATTGTTTCTTAGAGCAATTACCACATCACTTCCTCACACTCCTCTCACTCCAGAGCAATGTGATGAGAGCCAGATGATGGTACCTACAAGTACCAAAAGGGGAATTTTACATCACAGAAGAGGAACCCTGGAATTATGAATCTGGGCATTTATATAAGAGCTGTTACATGGCTGCCATCTTCAGAGAGAAATAAAGAAACCTTCCTAATGTAAACAGATACTTTGTAATATAAAAATATGGCTCTACGTTTTACCTCCCCTTGAAATATTAACGCTTAACCTTCTGGGAGCCAAAATTAAATCTCTCCAGAAGTCTTTATCTATTTAATCATCTCTCAAGTTTGAAAGTTTCTTCTTTATCCCAAGATCTACTTTTATATGTTCAGGAAGTTCTGCCATGCAGAAATATGAAAACATTCACATTACTTTTCAACAGTAGTAGTACTTTATGTGGGCAAAAAAACGTAGCTGATTTACATTTTCTGAAAAGAAGAATAGTTGCAATCCTTGATATAACAAAAAAAATATTGTTTCTTTGGAATGTATCATATTTTAGAAAGATAGTAATATTTAAATGCATATTAGTTATTAAGATATGATATATTGAATTGCATTTTCATATAATTTGCTTATGCTAGTGTTATATTTGTTAAATGCTTTTATTTAAATGAATGTATTTTCAGAAGTTTCATGAGGTAATCTGTGACTTTTCTGTGCTACTGACATTCTCCTTGAACTACCTCAGATAGCAATTATGTCACCCATTTTCCATCTTTCTACATTCAATGCCTGACAGTTCCTGGCCCATAGTAGACCCTCAATGAATGTTTACAGAATAAAGTAACATATTAAAGACTTTAGTGCCCAAGGTGTATTGACATTAAGTAGTTAATTTTGTTGAAGGAATTATTTATCTACATTAAATAAAAAGGATAACCAAGGAATTAGAAAAATTAAAACATAGTGGTGCAAAATAGAAATTATCTACAATGAGTGATAGCCTTTTGTAATTCTCAATATTACTTAGTTGAGCTAGTAGTCATCATATTGTTTAATTATATACAATTAAACTGTCCTTCTGAAGTACAGTGTTGGTTTCTTAGACTATTTGTTCTGATGAAATTGAATTTGGCACATATTCAATTTAGGCACATAAAATATATTTATCATATTGTACTTTTACCCACTTTAGCACAAATTACATCTTTGTACCTACTTTGTAGTATAAAGTAAAACACAAGTAACACTTTATTTATTATTTATATTATATATTTAAATACTAGCAGAAATAAGGGAATAAGACTTTAACATTTATGTAACACTAGGTTATAAATTGGCAAAAAGGATCATTCTTTGTCCTATATTTCAAGTATACTTTTTAGGTAATTGTTTTTTTCTTTTTAACTTTTTTGTCTAATTCAACAAAAGGTAAAGCCTTTGCTTAATTTTAACTTTATGATTTGTATTTAGTACTGTCACATATTTTAAAAATCAATTTGTTTGAATAATGTTCATATGTATTTTTTTACATAATGTGGATGAATTTTTATGGTATTACTGTTTGGAAAAATAATTAAACATGAAAAAATCAATAATTATATTTAGTGGCATTGGTAGCATCAAGTTTTATATTACAAAGCAAATAAAGCCTTAAATGAAAATATCTTAAATTCAATTATGTCTAAACTGCCTTCTAGATTATATTCTTTGGAAAGTGCTTAATGTTCCTGAGTCTTCCTCTCTTTGAAATGGGTATAATAATGAAATATACCTGACCATTAAACGGGCAGAAGAACATAAACCTTTGATGATGCTTTTTAAAAAATTTAGTAAATGAAGGAGAGAAATTGGGTAGTTGTTAGAAGGGGTATAGAGGATGGCTTTTTTTTTCTTTGTTTTTATTTTTATTTATTTATTTATTGTTTCAAGAGGTAGAGTCTCGCTCTGTTGCCCAGTTTGAAGTGCAGTAGTGCCATCAAAGCCCACTGCAGCCTAAACCTCCTGGGCTCAAGATATCCTCCCACCTCAGCATCCCTAGTAGCTGGAACCAGAGGCATGCACCATCATGCCTGGCTAATTTTGTTGTTGTTGTTGTTGTTGTTTAATAGTGATGGGGTTTCATGATGTTACCCAGGCTGGTCTCGAACTCCTGGCTTCAAGCTATCCTTCTGCCTCAGCCTCCCAAAGTGCTGGGATTACAGGCATGAGCCACTACACCTGGCCTAGGATGGTTTTAAGTTGAAAGAATTATGAATATGGATATATTGATGGAAAAGAACCGGTGATAAAGAAATTAAGAATATAGGAAAGGAGAATTACTGTTATAGTTGTGATGTGAGGTTGTGTAGAGAATGTGATCCAGGATAGTGGTAGAGCAATTCCTCTACATTGGATTTCAGGAAGGACATTTGTCCAGTAAGCTAAAAGAAGCCAGGCAGGAGGATCCGTTTCCACTGAGACTGAATGGAATAAATAATGATAGGTGTGATGCAGATATGTTGGTGGAACTGCGGTAGCGCAGTGAATTGAGGGATTTCTGCGTAGTCTCCTCAGTGAGTTAGGAAAGATAGTTTTTGGCAGGATAACGGGACATGTTGAAGAAAAACAACGAGAAAGATATCTCCAGAAAATATCCCTTAATGTTTTCCAGAATCTGAAGAAAATTTCATTTTATTTAAAATACATTATATTAACTGTTTAAGAAGTGGTTGTAAAGAAATCAGCAGGGCATAATTTATAAGGAAAAAAGGAGTTAAGAAGAGTAATAATGATGTTGAACATTAACTAAAACTGAAAATCTGGCTTTTTTTTTTTTTTAACAAGAATAAAGCTCTGTATAATATGTATTCAAAATGGTATAGGAAATGTGAAAGTGTTCGCTTTAAAGATATAAGCATCATTTATCCGGAAAACTTTTTTTTAGTATATTGGGGAAAGCATAAAAGTTAATGTTTACTTGTATTTTTCAAAAATTTTTGTAAAATGGTGAACAAGACAGGTCCCCTTGTTCAATGTATTAAGAATAAAAAATCACCACGTAAGGCCCTTTGGAAGTCATTGTCTTTCTAAAACAAGTCATTCATTCAGTTACCAAGTATTCATTGCTTTGATTATACACGTTCTTTCACACACATATATCTCGTTTATCTAAAATGTGTTTGCTTCTCCCCATATTCACTGGCACTGTTTTCTTTAAGCCACTATCATCTTCAGAATCACTGCAGTGGTCTCCTAACTTCTCTACCCACATCAATTCTTGCCCCTGCCTTCACCAGACAGATCTCTTGAAAAACTTAAAACCATTCATACAACACTCTGGGGTAAAACTCTTCAAAAAGAGCCCATTACTCTGAACTAAAGGTCAGACTTCCTGCCAAGGCCCATTAAACCTCCCTGATCTAGTTGCCCTTTTCTTTCTTCAGCTTCATTTTATGCATTTTGGCCCTCTGGCCATTCTAGATATGCTCTCTTTTGCCTCAGATCTTACCTCTGTTGTTTCTCTACTGACTTTCATTTCCCTAACACTATGACTGGCTGACTCCTGTTTATCCTAATTAATTGAATTATTATTGTATTATCTTAAAAATTAACTTTTTTAAATTCTAAATTTACTGCAAGTCATCATAGAAAACCCCTTTTGATGTTAATAGAGAACATTTAATTAGTTGGCTTGTTACTATATTAATGAATTCTCTAGAAAAAATAATAAAAAATAGAGTGAGGTAATATAGGTAATATGATTACAGGGGAACTGAGGTATGCTAATTCTTGGATATAACTAAAAAAGTAATTAAAATTAAATAATACTTGTCTGTATTATTTGCTGCTTGCTTACTTGTCCTTTGTCTCTTTTTCATTCAAATAGGTAATTATAGTTAGAGGAAAGAATTCCAATCATTTGAATATTCTCATTGAGTTTCTGACAGGTCAAAATCAATGCTTACAATTATCATAGCAAAACTCTAACCTAATTAAAAAATAGTATATGTAAATATGAATAAAACTATTATTGAATTGTTACCAGCACAAAATTAACTTACAGTATGGCTGAAGTACTATGACATGTGAAACTTTAATTTGTGAGGAGACTTTAGAACTCTCTTGACATTTACCTTCAAAATAAAAATGGGGCCGGGCGCGGTGGCTCAAGCCTGTAATCCCAGCACTTTGGGAGGCCGAGGCGGGCGGATCACGAAGTCAGGAGATCGAGACTGTCCTGGCTAACACGATGAAACCCCGTCTCTACTAAAAAAATACAAAAAATTGTCCGGGCCTGATGGCGGGCGCCTGTAGTCCCAGCTACTCAGGAGGCTGAGGCAGGAGAATGGCAGGAACCCGGGAGGCGGAGTTTGCAGTGAGCTGAGATCGCGCCACTGCACT